ACGCACAATGTGAAGTTGATGCTTGAGGATCACAGGCTCAGAGTTGGTAACATTGGCTTCAGCAAGGAGACTGGCATTTGTGGGGTAATTTTCCCATTTGATGTGGAGGATTTTCCAGAGGCATCACTGGTGATATGTCTCCAGGTTCTTGAGATGATGACAGTAGGTCACCCACATTTCACATCCATAGAGGAGAGTAGGGATGATGACTGTATTGTAGGCCTAGATCTTAGTGTCTTTCTGTAGACTGTGATGAGTAAAGCCACACTGGAGCAGTGTTCCAAAGGCGGCACTTACGCACCATCTCCTGTGCTGGATCTCTTCATCAGTGTTAACTCTCTGTGAGAGGTGGCTACTAAGCTAGGGGAAGTGCTTGACTACCTCCAGAGTCTTTCCCTCAATGGTAGTTTGGGGGAGGAGGGGTCACATTCATGGCCTATGGCAGGCTGATAGAACACTTTAGTCTTCTCAGTGTTGAGAGAGAGGCGCAAAGCTCAGTAGGCCTTATCAGAAAGAGCCGGCGCTGCCTAGAGGTTTTCTTCAGTGTGTGCAAGGATGGTGCTATCATTGGCATATTGAAGGTCAAGGATGGTTGTTTCACATACTTTGGTTTTCAAGTAAAAACGACCCAGATTGAAGAGCCTTCCATCCATTTGGTACTCAGTGTCAATTCCAGAAGGAAGGTAGTCCTTAATGAGAACAGGGATGATTGTCAGAAAAATGGAGACCAGAATTGTGGTAATAACACATCCTTGTTTGACCCCACTTTGGACAAATGGATTTGTCTCCAGTCCACTACACAGAACAGTTGTAGTCATCTGGTCATGGAGGAGCCTCAGGACCTTGATGTACTTTTCAGGACATCCAAATCTGGCCAGTACTCTCTGTAATGTTTCATGATTGATGGACTCCAAAGGCCATAGTAAGGTCAGTGAAGGCCAAAAACAGGTCCTGGTGTTGTTCCTGACACTTTTCTTATCTCTGGCAGGCAACAAAGATGTCAACTGCCCCATGGGATGTTTGAAACCACACTAAGATTGTGCCAGGACTTCCTCAGCAAGAGGTAGAAGATGGTTCAGGAGGATGTGGGCAAGGATTTTCCCTGCTGTGGAAAGAAGAAGGGCCATACCTTGATAGTTCTCACAGGGAGAAGGATCCCCTTTCAGGGTGTTGGGTGATGGACTCTGTGGTGGTATCTACCACATTTGACTCTCAGTTCAGGAGTGCATCAAAGTGTTCTTTCCATCTAGTTTGGATAGATTAATTGTCTTTGAGGAGTGTTGAGCCATCCTGCGATCACAGGAAAGCAGGACTATAGGAAGTTGGGCGTAGATGGCTTTCATTGCCTGGGAAAAGCTATGCATGTCATGTTTGTCAGCATAGAGCTGGATCTCTTTGATTTTTATCTTGCCACAACTTATTTTTTGATTTCCCAGATCCTCCTTTGATCTTCAGGTTTGAGGAGCTAATACATCTCTTTCTTCTGCTGACTTGATGTGTCATCTTGCCAAGCAAAATGAGCCCTTCTCTTTTGATTGAGGAGGGCTTGGATCTTGGTATCACTCTCATGAAACCAGTCTTTGTGTCAGCGGGTGGTACAGCCAATGGATTCAGCACAGGCCATATTGATGATGGTTTTAAACCCCTTTCAGGTTTCCTCTGTGTTACCTTCATTTGTAGATGGGGCAGACAGCTTTTCATAGAGACACCGTTGGAGATTCTTACAAAACTTTGGGACTTAAAAGAGATTTGGTGTTGAGAGTCCTTTGCATCGCTTTTCATTGTTTTCAGTGTTTCAGAACAAGATGTTGATCTGTCCCATAGTCATCAGTTCCTCTCATGGCTCATGTAATATGGACATCCATGCAATCACAAGCTTATTTAACAAAGTCAAGGAGGTGCCAGTGCTTAGAGTTAGTGTGTCTCCAGATGGTCTTGTATTTGTCACTCTGTCTGAAGATGGTGTTTGTGATGCCAAGACCATGTTCCACACATTTGCTCAGGAAGAGGGTGCTGTTTGAGTTGGCTTTCCCTACTCCTTCCTGTCCAGTGGTGCCACTCCAGAGTTCCAGGTCATATCCGACTCTGGCATTGAAGTCAGCAAAGAGGATAGTCTTGTTCTCCTTGCAAATATTAGTCAGTATGTGGGCAAGGTTGGAGCAGAACTATTCTTTGACATCAGCATCAGGCAATGCAGCTTACATGCTGAGGACAGTAACGTAATCATTGTTGCTGAGTTTAAGGTGGAGGGTCATCAGTCATTTATTAATGCTCACAAGGAGCTCTAAGTTAATTAACAAGCTGTTTCTTGATGATGAAACTGATGCTGTGAATGTGTCTTTCCTTGGCTGGTTTTCCTTTCCAGAAGAAGGTGTAGCCTCTACCTACTTCCCTCTTCTGGTCATCTTCTCTGTCTTAGAGCTGCAGTGTTGATGTTGTATCTTGCTAGTTCCCTGGAAATGATGGCAGTTCTTCTTTCTGGCCATTCATTGTTTTGGTTATCCATCAAAGTGTGAATGCTCCATGAAAATCATTGTTATCTTATGATGTTTTCAACTGCAGAGAGGTTGAACCCGCTGGACACAGTTATCTAGACAGGAGCAGATAAGTGGCCTAGGCTTAGGACACTTTTTCTAGCCCCTTCTCTATGTGGGGGTAGCAGAGGGAATCCTGACTAGGACTGCTTAGTCATGGTAGCAGCTGCTGAATTGCACCCCTTTCTCATCTCAGGTGCAAGATAGCCATCAGGCTATCATTGCCTGTATGCAGTATTCTGGCTGGAGACTGGCAGATTCACTATTCCTGTCTCTGTCATCACTGATCCATTATAACAGGAATTATTGGAGGTTGATACAGGAGAGCATGTTGTTTCCTGTGGTAGAAGCCTGAATGTGACCTTAACATGAGGATGCTGGTGCATGGAGACAGCAATCCCATGATTTTGACAAGGTGGAGATCTGGGCCCTGTGGCAATGGAGTCAACAGGAGACCTCCGTCTTGCTGCAACCTTCTTCTGTCTTTACAGCTGTTAAGATCCTGACATTTTCTTCTACCTGATCTGCCATTGAGGACTTAGGGTTGGACTGTGGTTTGTTTGGAACCTCCTCTCAGGACTGTTTGCCCTGAGTGACCCTGCCAGGAGTGTGATACTCTGGGTGACAGCTCTGAAGATCACTGAGATGTGCAAGCCTCTCCACCACTACAAGGTCTAAGAGGAGACAAAGAAGAGGAGTCATAATGGTGAGCCTAGGAAGGATTTTTTATCAAGCTCACTTTGGGCACGATGACCACTGCTATTGTCACTGGTAGCTGGAGGACAATAAATAGAGTCTGAGTAATAGTGCTAGTATGCCATTTCTCTACAAATGCAGGGCTACATATCAAAGTAGCATGGATAGTTCCAGTGCTGAAGGTCAAGAATTATGAAATGTATGTGGAACTACAATTAGTCTTCCCTAGTTATTAAGCAGGGAAGAAGAGAAGGGATGGAGACAGAAGAGGATGGCTTGTGGATGTTGAATTTGTCATCTTCTAGCTTAAATATGTCTATTTCAACATTAAACAAGTGATTAATCAGTAAACCACACATAGGAATTTCCCTTTGGGATCAAAACAGTCTGGTAGAAGTTACATTCTGACCTTGAGCATTTATTGGTTGGTTTATACCCTGAAGCCTTGATGGTTTCTGGCCCGTACCTATTTTTGTGCTATCTCATTTAACTGTAGAATAGTTTCATTATTGACTATTAATATGGAATCCCTTTTTTTTTTTTTTTTTTTTTT